TCTTTCTAATGCGGCTGTTGCCTTTGTCAATTATCTCAGCATTGGTAAAGTCGATGGTATGATCAAAGGTCCAGGCATGTTTTGCTACATTGGAGCCTTTAGCACATTGTTTAGTATTTCTGATATGTTCTTTTCACCTTGTACTAAACAATCTTTTTGTCTCGCGGATGTAACTCCAGGGACAAGACCCACAAGGGATTTTGTAAACAACATTGCACTGGTCGTCGACCCAAGGTCGAAACTTGGGAACAGGGAACTCTTGTTGTAGTGTTTTGATTGGTTTGTTGGTTACTCAAATATCATGACTTTTGAGAATTCTAGAAAGAGGCTCGGTAATACCTTTGATGTAGGGGAGGACCGCGAAGCTCTGAGTATTCGTTGGGTCAGCCCAACTGAAGAACATCCCAACTAGTTCTTCAGGTGAAGGTGTTGGAGAAGTCGAAGATTTCTTTCTTATGATATCAGCAGTGACTTTTTGTGGGTAGCCATAAGATTGTAACGCGGTGCTAATGCGATCAATTTCACGGGCTTTTCCAGCTTCCAAGTTTGGTAGTTTTAGGGCTCTATGTAAAGGTGTTGCTGCAGTGCTGATTTTGTGTTCTCTGTCATGATGTGAACGGAAATCAAGATATCTGTCCGTGTGCGTGGACTTCCGATAGACATCAATGTTGAGCCTCTCATTATCGCGAGAAATAAGGGTGTCGAGGAATGGCAGCTGACCATTAGATTCGTGCTCGATGATGAAGGAAATATGTGGGTCGATAGAGTTCAGTGAGTCATGAAAAGAAGTAACTGCATTCTTTTTGATGACACAAAAACTGTCACCTACGTAATGTTTCCAGATTTTGGGTGGAACCGGGGTTGAATCGATTGCTGTTTCTTCAATTTCCTCCATACATAAGTTGGACACTACAGGGCTGACAGGGCTACCCATGGCACAGCCGTGGATTTGTTTGTAGATGTCGTCATTGGAAATGAAATAATTGTTGGACAGCACAAGGTTTAGTAAACAAATTATGTCATCAATGTCTAGATTACTTCTGGAATGGAGAGAATAATCATCTAATTTCTTCCTGATGTAGTTACAGGCTTTTTCTACAGGAATAGCAGTGAATAAGGAAATCACATCGAAGGAGACCATGGTTTCATCATCTAAGATGTTGATGTTGATATTTAATATATGCCATTTGCTTGTTATCAAAAACTTTTAGGTCTATTTTATCATTTTGTTTTTGTCCGTCGAAGACAGCAGACTGGCTGTTGAAAGCTCACAACTTTAAACAATTTTACTAGAGAACGTTTTTTACCTCTTTTATAATAGAAATCAGATCAGTCTTTTCTCACGCAAAGCTAATGATTAATTGATGAAAATCACTGGAAAAAAATTTGGGGTGCCCGAGCTCGTTAGTGAGCTATAGCCATTTTTCAACTGACAGAACTCAATATCAAGGCAAATCTGCCATGTTTTCGATGTGCGTGTGCACAAGCGCACGCGAATGATGCCATGAATTATGCACAGTAAGGATGCTCAATGCAAATGTGAGGAATCACCTTAAATAACACAGCTATGGGTCTTAGTGCCTAAAAACCAAAGATTCCACCAAAGAAGCAAGTTTGTTTTCATATCGTTTATTGACAGTGTAACATTACAGACATTATGCAAATTTGGCAGTAAGCAACTCTATGTGAAGTGACAACAATCGCTTGTCACGCACGCGATGGATCATCGACTCGGTGATGACATGTTATGATGACAAAATACAGGTTCTGTGGACAAACTACTTTTACATTGCAGCTGCCATGTTGGTACCCCTCCAAAGGGTACATGGTGTCTCCATGCAAAGCCCAATAGAGTTGGGTGAAACACTTCTCCAAATAATGGCATTGCATTTGGGCAAATGAAAAACCATGCAGACTTAAATCTTGGTGAGGTTTATATATCAATTACCTACATGTATCATATCCTAGTTTCTGGACTATAGTTATTAATTGAGTGGTTGCAATTTTTATGCTAATATGTCTTAAGCTCTGTCTTCTATTTCCGATTCCTTGGCAGCAGAAAACGTTTGAAAAATATTCTTTGTATCGGAAGATTTTCTAGCGAACATCATTATGGTCAAAGTTATAGAGGCATGATCATCTAAAATCATTGTTCCAGATAAGTGGGGGGTCTCAGGTCAAAAACCCTACAAGGTGAAAATTTATAGTGATTTAGTGGGAGCAATGGAGATTGACCTGTTCAAATTCCTTGTTGACACCTAACCTTGAAAACTTATCTGGAACCCTGAAAATATGTCAGGAAAGTTTCTTGTGTTGTAGCCAATCAGAGATAAGAACTCTGGACAGACTCTGGACACCACAGACAGCAAATTGGTTTCCTTTGGTCACATAACAGCTTTAGTTGTCATCCTGTTTCAAAGTACAGTGGAACCCTGTCTTAGGGTCACCCTGTTAATATGGTGACCTCATTATTGTGGCCAGTCTTTTTTGTCCCCAGCCGGTGAAATGCCCACACATTTTGTAAAAAGAAAAACCCAGTAATGCCAACACCCTGTTAATGCAGCCACCCCATTAATACAGCCAACGGCCACATTCTGAACAACCTCATTCCCAGGGTCTCATCTTACCGCCCACTGGAGCAAGCGAAGAGAGACCCTGGTTGGTTCTGGTCACATGTCTCCCAGAATCTGGGAGATGACAATTACATTGTTGAAGGGATGGGCAGCCTAGTAGAAATTTGGTCTATACTTAACCCATGGGAATGCGGGATGTGTTGTCACCAAAGTAAACCAAGAACGATATGATGTTCTGCGGCAATATTCAGCGGTAATATTCTGCAAACACCAAGGAAAACTTATCCATCATCTGATAGTGGAAATCCGAGTTGCTGAAGGTTGTTTGGTTCAGTGAAGGACGTTACATATTGTAAAAATCTCCTCAAGAAGGTGAATGGAGAATTGCACACCTTGGCCGAGGCTGTGTATGGAAGATGTTTGACTTATCTTTACCTCAGAATGAAGTGTAGGTCTTATTACTGGCGATT